ACCGTGGTCTAAATATGACCCAGCGTCTCCAGCCCCTGCCTGGGCCCTCTCCCCCTTCCCTTCGGCATGTCCTACCCTCCTTCAGGAGCCAGAAGGCGATCCACAGGCCTGGGTGTGTGTCCTCACTCTGCCGTGTCCCTTGACGTGTTCCATTCCCTCTGAGCCTCAGGCTTCCCATCTGTAAAATGAGATGGTTGACACAACAATGTAACACACTTAACACAACTGAACTTTACACTTTGAAGTGGTTAAGATGGTGGATGGTATGTATTTTTTATCACAATTTTAAAAAAAGCAATACAAGGGAATAACTTTAAAAATGAGATGGTTGAATTGATCAACTGATGGCTAAAGGCCACCCAATCCTATAGCACAATAAGATGGGAGCCAAGGACAGATGCAGGTAGAAATGGATTGAGGAAGAGATGATAATGTGAGAAAAGCTGCTGCCTTTAAAACCTAGGATGGCTTTATCCATCTGAGCTGGGCTCAAGACAGGGTGTTGTCTGTTCCCCTGATGTCAACAGGTGTCTGGGAGCCAAGAGAGCCCTTAAACACTCTGCAGACCAACCTCTCTCTGCTTGTCCACACACATCCCCCAGCACAATCCAAGAAGGGAGAGTCCCAGGTACTGCCCGTTACCAATTTCTACCAGATTTTCCAACTTTCACAGTCATGACCTTGGGGTGTCCTGCTCCCCTTTATAACTCCAGCTTCACAGGGACCAAACCCTTCCCTGATTTTCTCTGAGCACCACTGAGATGGGACGGAATTTTCAAGGGAGGGACACAAACTCAGGTGGCCAAGAGCCCTAATCACCTGGGTTTACAGAGCCCCAACCCTGGCTTACTTGCCAGAGTCCTAGCTCCATCTAGGACCACCCTGGCTCTCAGAACCCGCTCTCAGCCCCTTGCACCTTTCACGTCCTCCCCCTTTCCTTCTCCCTTGTCGGTAGCTCCTGACTTCTCCAGCAAGGACACTGAGTCCGGCCTCAGAGACCTTCCTGGGAAAGCCAGGGATGGCACTCCCTGGTTCCCCACGTTTCCATTCACAAAGCCACTCTGGGGTCCTCTCAGTGGGAGGACTGGGTCAAGGGTAAATCCTCACAATGATAACGACCCTGATTATCATTTCTGTATCCTCCAAAGCCCTTACTCAGAGAGGGTCTCATTTAGTATTCAGCACAGCTTCCTCTTCAGCTCCATTTTACAGATGAAGAAACTGAGGCCCAGAGAGGCGAAGCGACTGGCCCAAGGTCACACAGTGGGTACGTGGCAGGGACCCAGGGCTGTCTATCTGCATGCCTTTAGCACCTTTGGGACTCTCTACCCCTTGGCCTCTTTCTCAGTGGTGAAATTGTACTTAAACACAGGTGAAAGGCGGGAGGGGAAACAAGGCCACAGGCTCAAGATCTGGCTCTCAGGAATGAGGCCAAGATTCCTTCGAGTTAATACACATCATCTCACAGGGCTGACCTCATAAATATCATTAGATCCTGCAGCCTCCACCCAGCCTGCCAGGGCCCTGGACGTGAGGAACTCTGTATCCTGTTCCCAGCCACAACACGTGGAAATAGTGTGAACTAATGAAATATCACCAGCGAAGCTAAAAGCTGAATGCTCGTCTCCTGGCAGATGGCAGCTAGGAGGCTGCTGACCCACACACACTGGCCTCTTCCCCTCCACCAACTGGGAGGCCAGAGCAGGCTTTAGGAAGAACACTGGACAGGGGTGGAGGCAGACAGACCAGGCTCTGGTCTCTGCATGCTGTGTGACCTTGAGCAAGTGACTTGACCTCTCTGAACTTAAGCTTTTTTCATCTGTAAAAAGAGGATAATGGGATCGATTTCAGTAATATATACATGGAAGTGTTCAGCTGAAGGCCAGACACAGTTTGGGGACCAAGGGGATGGAAGAGGAGAGGTCAGTGTGGGGATGTGACATCCATCTATCTACCCAGCCCACCTCATCACTGTTCAGAGTAAGAAACCCTGAAGCTAGGAGAAAATTCCACTGGGCACTGCTGCTGCCTTTAAGTAGAGGCCCAAGGGGGTGGGAGTAGCTGCCTGTTAGGCCTCATAAGGATCAGGATGGGGTTGGAGATCTCAAGTTCAGAAAGGCCACTTTGGGCCCCAGAGTGAATCATTCTTGAGAAGTTCGGATGTATTCTGTCATCAAACTCACCAAGGACTTGGGGCATAAACCTCCTTAGTGCCTTGCATGCTTGGGCATCCCCTGACCCCAGAGACTAGCTCAGTGAATAGTTCATGGCTTTGACCGCCCAGAATCCCTTACCTCCTCCCCACACAGTTCCTATGGTGTGGCGCCTTGAAGGCGCCTTGCAGCCCAGGTCTGTGCAATCCTTGTAATTGATAGTGACCAGTTTAGGGGTGGTATATGACCAAACCAAGCTAATCACAGCCAGTGAAACTCAACTCTGGGAATTTTGATCAAGATCTTAGGGCACTGGACTCCCTTTTCCCCACAGGACTTGGACCTGAAAGTTTATAGCACTGCAGGGGAGGGCAGTGCTGTAATCCTCAGGGGACAGCCAGTCTGAGAAGGTGGCCAATGCAGCACAAGACAATGCTGAGAAATAGAGAGAAACAGCATTCTCGTGGCAGCTGAGTTCTGGATCAAGCCATACCTGAGCCTTCCTGGCCTTATCAGTCACATGAGTCAATAAATGCCCCTTTTGCCTTTTTTTGGCATAGAATTTTTCTTTCTGCTCTGTGACCTTAGGCAAGTCACCTAACCTCTCTGAGCCTTGTTCCCTGATTAGTAAAATCCCGAAGGCAGTGCCTACCTTGTAAGGAGCGTTACAAGGACAAAAGCATGATGCAGTGTGCACTGCATAGTACTCAACAAATGAGTGTGATTATTTCCCCAGATCCTAGCCGGGGATCTTCCTCTAGGGCTCGTCAACATGCTGCATTCCCGCCCCCCAGAGCTCAGCTGTGCCTGTGACTTGACCTCCCTGATGACCACCAAAGCTCTGTGTCCAGCCCGACCTCTCTCCAGAGGACAGAGTTCCTGGGCACGTCCACCAGAATGTCCTCCAGGCGTCCCAAACCCAGCACAAGGTTCTGGCTGGTTCACTACTCTCTGTGTGATTTGGGTCTGTCACCTTGGTCTTGGTTTCTCCACCTATAACATGAGAAGGTTGTGGTAGATCATTACAGAGGTTCTCCCAGCCCTAACATCCTAGGACTCTCACCTCTCATGTATCATCTCCCCAGCTTGACACCACTTCCTCCCCAGACTTACCACCTTCAAAAGCAGTGCCGCCATTCTCCAATGAACCCCAGGTTGAAAACTTAGAGTCAGCTTGGTCTTGTCCATCTTGTTAATCACAGCCCCCAAGTCTGAGAGAGTCTCCTCAGAGATGCTACCCTATCTCTACACCCCTCCCTGATGCCACTACCATCACCTTAGTCCAGATCCTTAGCCCTACACATCCGGTCCAGCACTGGCTTCCCCATCCAGTCCCCTCTCTGCTCCTTCCATCCTTGGAGCCAATCAGTGGTCAATGAAGGACCGGTGCAGCTTCCCTCCCAATCCACCTCTGCATGGAGCCTGGGCCTCCTAATGTCACTGTCAGGAACTAGACTGCCCTATTGACAACGTCAGTCCCTGGAGATGCTTTTTTTTTTTTTTTTTTT